GCATGGCTCAGGGCGCGCCCCTCCCCCACGGGCGTGTGTCCACGCCGGACCCTCTCGGGCCAGGCCCGGTCTGTGCTGGGACGGGCTCTGCCGTGAGCACCGCTCACCCTGGCCCGGACTGAGGTCAGTTCCTCCCTCAGGAAGGTCCCGGATGACCTTGCTCGGCCCCGGTTTCCCAGTTCAGACCCTCACGGTCAAGCGGGACCCGACTGCAGGGTCCCCCCGACTCAAGGAGCACAGAGAGAGGCTCCCTGCGCGCTCGGCAAAGCGGACAGGGCCGCAGAGGGGCCTGCCCGGCTGTGACGCCCCCGCGGAAACAGGCTCCCTGAGGGGGCCGCAGGAGGACAGAGGGGCTGTGGGCATGCAATACCTGAGGGAGTCCGAGAAGGCCTCGACGCCGTACTTGGAGATGCAGTAGCCGCCACCAAAAAGGGACAGTCGGCCCCCAACACTGGACACATTGACGATGCGGCCCCTCGCCTTCCTCACCAGGGGCAGCATGCCCAGGGTCACCTCGATCAACCCCAGCAGGTTCACGTCCAGGACCTTCATGAAGTCCTCTTTGGTCAGCCACTCATTGGGGCCCAGGGGCACACCGGTGCCAGCGTTATTGACCAGGCCCCAGAGTCCTGGACAGAGAGGGGGAGAGAGACTACACCTCTGAGCTATGTCCTGAGGGCCCACACTGGGGTCCCCTCACCCCTCCATCATGCCAGGCTGCATGAGGGGTGGGGGGAGCACAGTTGACAGGCCGCCTGCAGGGGACAGGACCCCAGAGCCCTGCAGGACACACGTCAGGCCCGAGGGTCGGGGCTGCAACAGCGACGATGCCTGGTGGACGTGGCGTCCCCCCTGTGTTTCATACATTCTGCCCCATCAGTGGGAGACTCACCCCTATGTGTGGGGCAGGGGAAGGGATGTGAGGGCGGGGGGAGGGGTACACTGGCAGCGGATACACCAAAGGCCGGGGACTAGAGTTTCAGCTCCTTGGGCAGCTCCTGGGAGTGAGGCTGTCATGCGAACGTGACTCCCTGTGATAGGGTCTCTTGTCAGCGGCACGACACGGAGAGTGTCAGACCCACGGACGTGAAATCCTCCAGCCGCGTCCTGCTCCCCTGCAGAGGATCCTGGGCCCTCCCAGGGAGCAGTGCATGCTGGGTGAGGAAGGAACCCCCACCCAGCCCTGCAGGTGTAATTACATGGGGGTAGATGCTCCCCAAACGCAGGCCCTAGGTGGGGAGCACAGGGGCCATGGACAGAGAGGAGAATCATCCCCTGAGCTGGCTGAGCTGAGGACAGTGCGTGAGAATTCAAGACCCAAAGCAGACGGGACACCCCACGCTGCAGGCAAAGGTCTCCCCTGCACAGAGAGGAAAACATGGGAGTCTGGGCGCTACCTCGTGACCCTGTGCGCTCCTTCACCCACTGGACGGCCGCAGCGATGCTCTCGGACTTGGTCACGTCCAGGATCACGGTCTCCAGCCTGCTTGAGGCCTGGGCCCGCAGCTTTTCTGCATCCGCCTCGTTGCGGCAGGTAGCCAGCACCCTCAGGCCCTGCCGGTCCAGCTGCCGGGCCAGCAGGTGCCCGAAGCCGGAGCTGCAGCCCGTGATGAGGACATACTTGTCGCTGAGGTTGCTCACCACCTGGCGCTCCCGGAGCCAGCGCACAAGGTAGTACAGGCTCACGAGGGCCAGCAGGAGCTGCCACATGGCACGCAGGGGCCACGCCGCGGGCTGCAGGAGAAGATCCGCTCGGGACGCTGCGCCTGTCCCCCTCCTTCTCACGCACAGGCCAGGTTGGGTCAACTCCCTCCCGTCTGTCTGGACGTCTTTCCCTGTCCCGCTACCCTTTGGACTTCCTGCCAGCTCTTATATGCGCTCCTGAGCACCCCAGTCCTGCCCCTGGTAAACATCACTGCCCGCAGCACCTCCCTTCCTCAGCCCTGCCTGCGTCCCCATGAACACCCGGTGCCACAGCCCCTCGGAGCAGGCAGGCCACCCCGTCCTCAAGAGAGCTCAGAATCCTACTACCAACATACAGAATTGGGTTTCTCGACCTGGGAGATTTCCAGAGGCAGCTGGATCTGGTTCAGGACAGGATACAGGCTCCACCGCACAGACCCGGCGCCCGCAGCCGGCTCCTCACACAGGCGCACCCCGGACCAACCAAGTCCCTGCCAGCCTCTGAGGCTGAGCAGGAGTTCCAGGAGTGTGAGTTCTGTTCTGCACCAAGCAGCTTTCTGGAGTGAAAGGCATGGTGGGTACAAAGGGGTGTCGGTCCTTACAGGCAGGAAATGGAAGGGAAGAGCTGGAGCATTGCTGGAAGGACTCACACCAGCTGGTCTCCCAGTGAGTCACTCCTTCCCCGCGGCTGGGGGGTTCATGGCCTCTGCCCTCCCCTGAGCGCCCCCTGCCCAGCCACGTCTGACCCGAACCCCAGCGCTGAGACTTAGAGGAGATGACTGACCTTGAACAGGCTGTGTCCCTCACGGCGAGGGCCTGGGCCCCAGAAGGGGAAGGGCCTCGTGCAGCCAGGCTCGGGGTGACAGGGAAGGAGGCAGCAGGGTGGGTGATGGACCATGAGCCAGTGCCATTGCCCTGGCGTCTCCCTCACGGTCCACGTCTCTCACTCCCTGCCGGGCAGGCACAGAGGAGCGGTCAAGGTCAGGGCGGAGCCCAGCATGTAAACAGAAGGATCACACACAGGTTCGCCTGTAGGTTCCCGGAGCTGCAGGGCGGTGCCTGAGGCCTGGAATGTGTCCCAAAGTGACCTGCAGTGACCAGCGTGTCCCTGCTTCCTGGGCTGAGGCCAGGACCCT